AAAGGAATACATAAAATAAGATTAATAGTAGATTGCACATTGTAAAAATTATTTACAAACTTAAGTGAATATGACAATAAAAATTGTCTAAAATAAACATGAAGGAGAAAAAGTTTATAGATCTGTTACATAATAGTTCATTATGTGCCAAAATCAAGAAACTTACATTCATATAATTAGAATTCTCAAAGTAGAAGGGGGTAGGCAATGAATATTTAAAGATTTAAAATTTCTGAATTTAGTTAAAATTATAGTGCCACATTTCTAAGAAAAATGAACCTTTTGCACAAGAAATTTTAATAAAATCATACCAAATTACACAAAACTGGAATTGTCCAAAACTGATTGTAAAGAAAAAAAATCATTAAAGCATATACATAGAAAAAATACGACCAGCCACATAGTTCAGTGGATTAAAGTGCCTGCAAGCAGGATCAGGGGCCAGGTCTCCCATCCCCAAGCCTGCCATGTGGGCCTCTCCCCCAGTGTGCACTGAGAGGACAATTGAGACGGGGTGTGGTGGTGCACACCTGTAATGCTAGCACTTAGTGGGCTGTAAACAGGAGAATCACTAAGAGTCCGTTCTAGTAGTGAGACACTGAACACCCTGTAGACCTTTCCCAAAAATACAGAAAAGAAAAAAAAATAGCTATGGAAGAAAAAAAGTAAGTAGCATCTTGTTCCGCATCAGAAAAAAATAATAAGTGGGTAAGAAAATTGACTTACTTATTCAAAGGACTGAAAAAAAAGATTTGTCCTCAATGAATTTTATGCTTAGCAAAGATAGTTTTGAAAACTAAAAGTAAAATATTTTCCAGTTCTACCAACTCGAAATATTCTACTACCTTCCCATGTATCATATAGAAAATAATGAAGACCATATTCCAGAAGGCAAGAAAAGTTTCTGTGTGGTCCTGGATAAAGAATAAAGAGCTCTTAAAATGGTAGTTATGCAGGAGTTTGTAAAATATAATTATTTTAGATGAACCCATTTAAAAGGTCATTCATGATTTCCACAAAACAGTATCAATCTTTATTTATTTATTTATCTATTTTGTGGAACTGGGGATTGAACTCAGGCCCTTGCGCTTGCCAGGCAAGCACTTATTCTATTGAGCTATCTCCCCAGCCCTAAAACAGTTTCAATCTTACTTCAGATTATATATATTTTGGTGTGTGTGTGTGTGTGTGTGTGTGTGTGTTTGCGTGTGTTTATAAAAGAGAAGGAAGAACTAATATAAAGTCAATGGAAATACACTTTTTAAGGTTTCTAATGCTAGGAGAAAATATACTATGACTTATAAGTAGGTTCTAAATCAAAGAAACAGTATAAATCATAAAACAAAAAATAAAATTAAACAATGTTCAGAAAATTAATCAAATATTTAATTCAAAATTAAATCAAATATTTCTAAATAATATTAAAATTATATTGAGTTGAACTAAGAGGCCACAATGTAGTGTATCATATGTATAAATCTGTGATCAATTCAGAGTACTCACACAGTACGTCATTTGGTTAATATATCAAAAAATATCAACTAAAAATCTTTTTCATGAAGGAAAGAATTACAAAGAATAATACATAATAAAAATATTAGATTGGCAAATATAGGACCAGCACTTCTAGCAGTTTGGGGATAGGATATTGCACAAAGTTCTAGTATGTGGTGGACGTGACCATGTCCATGAAGAGTACTGGTGGCCAGGTGTCAATTGTGGGACTAAACTACTGCTATTTCCTTGATATCCACCCTGTAGACCCGAACAGAGTGATGACCCATAGAGTACAGGAGAAGTCCAATTATAGAGTATGCTTATGGAAATACTTTGCTGCTGTATACAAAAGAATAATTGAAAGACTGCTGTTGTATACATCTTTTTCTCCTGTGTTTGTTTGCCCTATTTGGTGGGTTCTTTCTGTTCTCATTCATGGAGTCAGGAGCATTTTGATCCCTCTAGAATATCTTTCAGTAGTCTGTGCAGGGTTTGCTTTGTTGTCATGAAATTCTTTAGTTGCTTTTTTATGAATGTATTTCACTTCGTTGAATTTGAGAGTTTTGCAGGATATATATCAGGCTGAGCTAGAATTTTTTTCTTGCAAGACTTGAAGTACTTTGCTTCATGCTTTTCTTTACTTTATGGTTTGTGAAGAGAAATTTGTCATCATTCTGATTGGTATTCCTTTAGATGTGACCTGTTTCCTTTCTTTAGTAGCTTTTAGTATACTGTTCCTGTGCTGAATTTCTGAGATCATGATTATTATGTATGGGTGTGGTATTAGAGTTTTATATGCATCGGTTAACTGAATATCAGATTTTTCCCCCATATTTGGGAAGTTTTCTGCTATTACTTCTGCCCATATGTCATCTACATTGACTTCTTCTTTCTCATTGATGCCTATGAATCTTATGTTGTTCATCTCTGTGTCATCTTGCATAGGTCAAACTATTATTTTCCTGCATCCTAGTTGTTTTTAAAAGATCTTTTCTTACCTTTTCACTAACTGCAATGATGGCTTCAAGGCATGAAAGTTTCTTTTCACTTTCATTCAGATAGTTTTGCCAGCTTGTGATTAAGGTTTTAATTTCCTGTATATCACTTTGAATCGGCTTCACGCATTCTATTTCTTTCCTGTATTGATCATTCAATGAGTCCATCATTTTTATATTCTCCTCTACTTTTTATCAGTGATTCTTTTAGAAGCACTTAGCACTTCTTTCATTATAGTCATTTCTTTCTTTACCTCAGAGATTATTTCTAATCTGACTTCCTCTTTACCTTTTTGCCATTGTTTCTTTACTTCAGACAGTACAATTTTAGAGATTAAAGGTATGCAATTTCCAATTTCTTCTATCGTATTGTCTCCTGCATTTGTTCTAGGTGGGCTCAGTGCATTTCTTCTGGGTGGGCTCAGGGCCTGAGAATGCATTTTGCTCCTTTTCATCATTTCTGTAGCACTCTCTTTGGTGTAGAGATTTGGTGGAGCAAACCTTAGCACCAGATTTGGATCTACGAAGTTCTAACTCATCCAGGTGGGTCTGGCTTGGGTCTAGCTGCTGTGCTGCACTTCTTCCTGCTGCAGTCCTTTGAAGTGAACCAGCTGTGCCACTCTGACAAGATGTTCTGCTCCTGGATCAGCTGGGTGGGTCATGCCTCTAGCTTCTCTGCAGGGAGTTCTGCCACAGGGTTCCACACTGGGCCTGTATGATGGAGGAGGTTCCACTCACATGCTGGGCCTGGGTGCTGGCTGGAGTGAGGATCCGGCGGGCCCCGGCAGCCCCATTCACATGCAGGTCCTGCATGCTGGCTGGAATCTCCTGGATTTGTGATTGAAATTCTCTCATAGACTATAATTCTTTGATAAATTATTCAAGTTTTGCATAGGTTGTTGAACTCAGGTTGCTTTTTATTAATGTCCTTTGCAGATTCCTTAACTTCTTTGGATACTGCTTTCATTATCTGTTATACTTTCTTCATTCTGCTGAGCAACTCCTTGATCATTTTTTAATGAACTCCTCTGTTATACTTCTGTGGAACTGAAGTGTGTGGCTTATGCTGTTCTCCCCCACAAAACCCTCAGATTAGATTTGGAATACTTGGAAATTTGTGGAGACATTCAGGAGACATTGTCTTCTCACGTTTCTAATGTTTGTGTGCCAAATTTTGCAATAGTTATAATTGAAAGACTTTGTTCCTACAGCAAAAGCGTATTGACCTCATCTGCCTTTCGGTGATGTACTTGGGACATAGGTAACGGCAATTCTTTCCCTGTGCCTGGAGATCTGATCATTCCTATTAATTTAGGAGGGAACGATAATGTATACTTCGCTCACCAACAGGTACTCTGGGAGTGTATCCTACTATTGTTAGTTTTACAAAGGAAATCTAGGTATTCCCATACAGAGAAATTCCATTAATGGTAACTACTTTGTTACCCTGGCATCATCCAGGAAGTCATTTACTGCATTATCATCCAACACAAGTTTGATAATAAAATGGAAATTGTAGCAATCACATAGCATAATGAACCAAAGAGTAGAAGTCTACAGTTTAAGTGTAAAAATGAAGACAATTGAGACAACTCAGGCAACCCAAATTAGTAGAGATAATATATACTAAATGCAAAAGCTATATAGCCCTGCTGATGGGAGGAAAAATAACAGTGATACTATAGTCTCAACTAGCTGTACAGAGAATAGTGTATCTTAATCATTATAAAGATACTGTATCTGGGAAAAGGAGGATGCATAAGAAAGATAGGAAAGCTCAAAGTATATGATGTAGGAAAGACAGAGAAGGTGCACTAAAGAGCTCATTAAGGACTAGAAGCATGTTCATAGAATGAGGTAAAATAACACAAAAAAACTGAAGAGAAATGAAAGATAACACAAAAAAGAGAAAACATATATTTTATGCAGAATAAATGTAGGAAAGTTTATATAAAGCATAGGAAAAATGTGAGAAAAAGGTTAGAAAAAATGATAAGTTTAAGCGAGCCATTTCCATCTGGATCCCGCATGTCTGAGTGTAGCAATTCAGCTGTACCCTGAGGAGCAGGCTCGCTTTCTGTCCCAGATTCTTGGAGACAGTACCTCTAAAAGGACAGAACCCTGTGAACACCACCCAAAGAGAAGGGCCTTTGGGGAGATAACGAGCAATTTTGCCAAGCAAGAACATTCACAGTCTTCCTCTCTCCTACAGGTATCTGAATTACTATCACGAAGGAATCTTGGAGCTTCTTCATGGTCAGCGTAAACAACACAGCAATTTACAGGGACACCATCTTACCTAAGAAGGGCACAGAGCTTGGCAGGTCTGCAGATTAAAGAAGGGCACAGAGCTTGGCAGGTCTGCAGATTTTGAAGTCTCGGAGAGAGGAAGTAACAGCCACTGTTCCTCAGGCTGCTCTTTCTCCAGGGCTCTACTCTCTGCTACAGCAAGAGTAGGGCACCAAGTTGTCCCAGGAATCCGCAGGGAATATTCTTTCCACCACTGCCATGAACTCCAGGCAGGTGAGCCAATCTAGTGAGTCTTCCAGCTGGAATGAAGAGGAGGACATATGCAATGCCCAAGACGAGGTAGCTGTTCAGTTCTTGTCCTATGCATTCATAGATGACAGCATAGCTAGAGTGTTGACAAACCTGATCTGGAAGTATCAAAAGCAGGAGACAATCACCAAAGCAGATATGCTGCGCACTTTGGGCCCTGATTATGATAACGAACAAACGCCAGTATTCAAGAAACTCTATGAAACCATGTGTATGAACTTCGGCATTGAAATGAGGGAAGTGGACCCCACGAGCCACACTTATGCCCTTTTGCCTATCTTGGGCCTCACTTACAATGGGATATACAGTGCTAATTACCAGTGCCTTTCCAAAATCGACCTCTTGATAGTCATCCTGACTATCATCTTCGTGAAAGGCAACTGTGCCAGTGAGGACGACATCAAAGAATACCTAAGAAAAAGGGACATGTTAGCTCAGAATGATCACTTTGTTCTTAAGGAGCCCTGGAAATTCATCACTGAAAAATTGGTAGAGTTAGGATATCTAGAGTACCGGCAGGTGGCCAACAGTGATCCTGCTCGCTATGAGTTCCTGTGGGGTCCAAGGGCCCACGCTGAAACCACCAAGATGAAAGTCCTGGAGCATTTGGCAAAGGTTAATAGGAGAGAACCCAGTACCTACCCACGTCTGTATGCAGATGCTTTGGGACAGGAGCAAGAGGCTGCCCATGCATCAGATATGGACCAATAAAGGAGCAAGGCTGATGCCAGGAACTGGTGTTCATGAGCAAGTCACTACTTAACTCTCATCGCTCGTGCAATAAGTCCCATTCTTTCCTTCTTTTTCTTTTTCTGTTTCTTTTTTCTACACACAGTTCTCTCAGTAGTGAAGGAGTAGTGGAGAGAATGACTACCATGCATCCTGTCTTGATGCCTGTTCCATTTGGGTTATTGAAAATGACATGTCTTATGTTTTGAGGGGAGTGGTACTGACCTTTTGGTTTTTGTGAGTGAGAATCTTACTATGTGGTACATTTTCACCTTGATTTCCATTTGTAGTCAAGGCTGGCCTCAAACACATGGTGAGCCTCCTGTCTCAGCTTCCTCAGTGCTGGAATTACAGGTGTGCACCACCACGCCCAATGGTGACATGACTTTTCCTTATTTGGGGTACACATTACCTCACATTTGCCAGGAAGGCTCCGTGTTGGTGGACTCTATCCCCAGTCCGCTTTGAAGTCTTATTCCTTTGTGCAAGTTTGGAATAACTTACACATCTTACATGTTTTTTTTCTTCTTTCTTTTTTTTTTTTTTTTTTTGTTGGAACCAGGGATTAATCTCAGACCCTTGCGCTTGCCAAGGAAACGCTTATTCCACTGTACAATCTCCCTGGCCCCTACACATCTTATTTGAATAATGATACTGTTCTCATTTGAATTTTTAGTTTTGTGAAACTGAGGATTTATTGTAATGTCTGAACTGAATGTGAATTTCTGTGATATTGGTCACACAGGGATTTTGTTTTTCTGTGCCATGTATAAGACTGTTGTGTTGTAAAACCAGCTTGGAAACATTTCATTTTACTTTGCAGAAGATACTATTGTATTGGAATAGGAATTTCCATGAAAATGATTAAGAAGTTTACATAAAGTTAGATAGAAATGTGAAAATCACACAAGGATAAAAATCATTGCTTTGTTTCTTTTTTGTGTTGCTTTGCCATTAAACTCCATGTTTATATAAATGTTTTATTTATTCAATCATAAGAGGAACATTTACAGTCAATAAAGAAGCCCACCTGTCCAGGGTCCCTTTGACCCCAACCCATCAGGGCCTCTTTGCCCTTTAGAAGGTCTTCTGTCTGTGGTGAAGATGTGAGTTCACTGAGGTGAACAGAATCAAACTACCCCATAAGATTAAGTCTGTGAGGACCACCTATGTTGAAAGATACAGAGATATCATCAAAGGACCTAGAAGGTAAGTAAAGGGCCCTGCGGGGGTGGCATGTAGCAGAGCACACACAGGTGTGTACTTAGCCACAGAAGCTTGGGGCTTTGGGAAGGTGCACTGCCCAGGTGGGTCCTAAAGCCTAAAGCTCCCTAGACAGCTCCTTGCTTGTCTGAATGGGAGTATTCCCCTGAGAAATAAATGCATTTTTCTAGCACTGTGAAATATGGAACTCAGCCATTACATGTTGTATAATGCTGAGATGTGACTACTGTTATTCAGGAGATAAAATTTGAATCTTTCATAGATAAAATTATGAGCAGGTCAACCTTAATGGACAGCACATGTAGAGAAGTGCAGAATGTAAGCCTGTGGGCTGGAAGTACAAATTCCTATGCAAGACTCAAGTTACAAGGTTTATGGTCATTCCACATCTTGGTTAGTGAATCCTGTATTGTACTTACTGGTGTCAGGGTGAGATAATAGACAGAATGTATTCTACTGTGGAAAATGGCAATCCATCTTTATAGTTTATCACCTTCTAATTTGCAGCTCATTTTGATATTTAAGACTTGTTCTATTTTACTGCTTTGTGCCTGGATGGTCCAGTATGAGACAGCATATTTGGACCTCCTGTCATGTGGCCACTGAGGACCAGCCTTGCT